AGCCTTGTGTTTTTTTTACGTTTTGGCCGCATATCAGTTTCTGGCCTTGTATATCATGTATACGATTGTTGTATACCGGTGTATAAAGTTGGTATAGTAGTATATACAACTCGTTTTTCAGCTTCCGAGACTTTGTGTTTGCTGCCCTTGCCCTGTATATCAACTTCCAAAATCCGAACAAGGATGAAGGCCGACTCAAGTAGGATGTTGGGCTGTTTGGCCCAACGTAATGCAAGGAGAAGAGTCCATGAATGGACTCAAGTATCATGCATACAAAGAAAGGAATAATGAATTAATAGCAAAATTGCATAAAAAAAAAGGGTATTTAATTTTTAGAGGACAAAGTACGAATCATAAACACATGAATGGAGAAAATCAATCCAAAAGCAACATGAAGAAAACTGTGTGAAATAACGCCTAGGTCCACTCAACTTTAACCAAATAGTAGCTCAAATCTATCCATTTTTATTTATTTATCTATATATTATATTTTATTTTTTATTTTTTTATTTTTTTTAAAAAAAGAGCTATAATCTACTGGAGCATCATATCAGCAAGAGTATTCATGATTCCATTTTTTAAAGAAAAAACATTCATCAAATAAAACTACACATGGTTTTAAATCTTGACTTAAGCACTAACATTTGAACAAGAATCTAACCAATAATGATAATTTAGAAATGAACATTGACCTTAGTGACTTACCAACAAAGACTGGAGCAGGCATAATATTATTTATAAATTATTACCGGATACGCGAAAGCTAAAGAAATATTACTACTATATAAACTATGGCAACAATGAGCAACAAACATATTATAATAAGCATCTATAAACAGAACCTTTCTTACACCATAATAGACAGGAAAAATCTAAACTAGACATGAAACGATAGATAGATGAAGTGTTGATATCGATCTAGGCGTCACAAAATTGCTACATAGTGAATCATAGGGACCGAACAAAGGAGACTTTGACCAAGAAGAAACGAATGGAATAATTAAGATTTTAAGGAAACAAAGACCGAGCCAACAACATGAATATCAAACAAATCATACCATCGATTTGCCGTCAACACTCTCAAAATTCTAACATCTGAATGATTTACAATGATCCAAAAATGAACAGTTGTCAAATGAGTTGAGCAACAAGATTACAACATCAAGCCATAAACTAAGCGATTCTTGACTCACAACACAAGAAACTAAAATCGGAGAAGGGATGTTACCTTTTCGGGGGCAGCGATACTAGGACGACAAGCTTGACCGTGAAGAACTCCCACCACTATGAGCCGATTTCGATGAGCTCCGAAAAAACAAAACAACTCTTTCTTTTGATGAAATTCCCTCTGATTTAGGGCAGTAAATTAGTGTTTGAAAAATCATTTATTTTTTATTCCCCCCAAAATCCCCTCTCAAACGTTAACGAAAGGAGAGTATATATAGGAAAAGAATGGAATTGATTAGGGGGAAAACGGGCAGATTTTTTAATGAATTTGAAATTCAAAATTTGTACCAAGATCCTCAAATCCTTGCTCAAAATCAGGGAAAAGGACTGATTCTTGCGTATGGGAGAGTACTGTTGGCGCGATTTCCGGGTTTACTTTTGTCACTGTTTTCACGTGGAGAAGAAGAAGATGAGGAAGAAGCGAAGTGGGATCGTTTTGGTATTGTTGTTGTTGTCGTATGCTGGAAATAACTTAGGTGGGCTGGTTTTTTTTTTTGTTGGAATGGGCTTGGGTTGCTGTTGTGTTTGTGTTGAAGGGTTTTGGGCTCAGGTAATGGGTCTAGAAATGGCCCAAAATTGGCCTATTGAATTGGGAATTGGTTGAAAAATAATTGGCTGGGTAATTTGTCATTCAGTTGGGCTGATTTGAGCTTCTGATTTCTGATAGTAAAAGGCCCAAAACAGTCTGAAAATTAGAGATATGGTATGGAATTGGCTAAAATTTGTAACTAGCCATGTGATAACAATCTAACCCAATAAGGTTCAAAACGTAGCCAAATTGAGTTGATTAGCGAATTCGGCCAAAATTTAAATAAGACGAGTTTATATAAATTAATCAAGGAGCTTCTTAATCTTAACGAAATAAAATAATTAATTGATTATAAAATAATTAATTTAATTACAAACTAATTAACTAGAAATTATAACTATAACTTAAAGTAAATTAATAAAATATTTAACTAAAATGTAAAATCTTTTGTGATGATTTTCAAATATTTATAAAATAACGTGATTGCAAAAATCTACACATTTATTATTTTAAAAAAAAATTACTTTTAAAAATAACTTGAAAGTATTTTGAATTTCATAAAACTCATTAATTCAAAATTATAACCATCCCTAATATTTAAAATATAAAATCTTTTTTTTTTGTAGACGATTTTCGAATAATCATAAAATATACTAACTATATACATAATCATGTAAAACATATATATCATCTAAAACTTATGTGGACAAAGACTTAAAATCTTGCAAACTATACTATTATTATTTTTATTTTTTATTTTTTTATTTTTTATTTGAAAATTTTATAACACTAATTATTTTAAATTGTTTGAAATTGGAGAAGCTCGATGATTAATCTATAATGTGGAGGTCCAAAATTGGGTGTCAACAATGCTTTGGAACTGATTTCAAAGTCTGGGCTAGGAGGAGCTAAACCTGTCTACACACCACTAGAAGTGAATCAAAAACTCACTTCTATCAAATATGATGAGCAACTTAATGACACAGACACAAGGACCGAAAGTGATGATTTACTTCAAAATCCTACAAGGTATCAAAGACTAGTATGAAGGCTTATCTATCTCACTATGACAAGACCAGATCTTGCCTTCACTGTACAGGTACTAAGTCAATTCATGCACTCTCCTAAACAGTCACATTTGGAGGCTGCACTAAGAGTGGTGAGATATATTAATGAAGCACCTGGTTCAAGATTATTAATGACATCTGATCAAACTGCACAACTCACTGCCTATTGTGACTCTGATTGGGGAGCATGTGTGGAAACTAGAAGATCAGTCACATGATATCTTGTGAAGTTTGGAGGTGCTTTAGTGTTTTGGAAATCTAAGAAACAAGAAACAGTGTCAAGTAGTTCAGCTGAGGCAGAGTTTAGGAGCATGGCTGCTTGTGCAACTGAGATCACTTGGTTAATAGGCCTGTATAAAGAACTGGGAGTATGTGTAAATCTTCCAATGCATATGATGTGTGACAGTAAGGCATCCATTCAAATAGCTGCAAATCTCATCTTCCATGAGAGAACTAAACACATAGACATTAATTGCCATTTTGTGAGGGAAATAATTTGCCAAGGAATGCTGAAAACTGAACACGTCAACACTAAACATCAACTTGATGATTTACTGACTAAAGGGCTGGGAAAGATACAACACAACTTGCTGATGAGCAGTTTTGGGATGGCTAATGTGTTTCAACCATAAGCTTGAGGAGGAGTGTTAACTAGTGTAGATGGTTAGCAAGCTAGATGGTTGAGTTAGTTAACTAATCCACTAGAGTTAGTTAACAATATAGATAGCTGGCATTAGTTAGTTACAATCCCATGTGATTAGTATAAATACACAGTGTACAGATTCAATGAATCAAGTTACATAATTCAATCAATACAATTTCTTTCTTCCTCTCTACATTACTGCAAAGCTTAAAGCTCCAATTATGGAGCTTTCAAATAATAAAATGTTAAAAAGGATTAAATTAGTCTTATCATAATCATTTATTATAATTTTAAGATTAGTGTTAGAAAACTAAACTAGGAGAGAACTGAGAAGTCTCTAAATTTATTCCTAAAATAAAAGAGTACCTAATCATAGATTAAAAGAAGTTTGATGGGATGACTTTTTGGTGAAACTGAGGAGTAAAGAACTTTCACAAAAACGCGTTTTTGGAAAATTTTCCCACTCCCATCCTTTTCAGTGTTGTACTTTTTCGTAAACCAAAAAGTCTATAGTCAATCTTTGAAAATTGTATTAAATAAAATTGATTATGGAAATTTTGAATGTATAGAGCTAACCATTCTATTTATATACTTGTGGTTGACGAGTTTAGTTTTGCGTAGACGATGGGAACACATCCATGAGTTTGTTGAGATGACTCATCGTTCTAATGTTCCAATTGAAATAACACCAACGCTCTCTGAGACAAGTGTATTAGTTGATTTATTTATCAATTAAATATTTTAGCAATTACTTTCTCCGTCCAATAATAATTGTCCACTATACTAGTATAGTATTTTAAGATATCCAACAATATTTGTCCGCTTTATGAAATCAATAGATAATTTTACACTTAATTCCTATTTTACCCTTATAATTAATTATAGTCATTTCTCTATTACATTTTTCAAGACATTATATTTGTTATATTCAAAGGGTGATATAGTAAAATTATCTTTCTATTTTATAGTTTCTTAATAAATGTGTAAAGTCAATAGTGGACAACTATTATTGGATAGAGGGAGTACTATTAGTTTATCACCGATAATAATTCATGTTGGTGTACACCACGAAATAATATAACGACCCATTAGCTATCCTAAAAAAGACATATGTTGATCAAATTTATGTACAAGTTTTACAAAACACTACTATCTTCAATCGACAATAACTTTTTAACGTGTATGTAACTGTAAAAAGATGGAAGCTACAGTTTCTTAAAAAAGAAGCCGAAAAGCCAAAAACTTTAAGATATGAAATATTTGGCAAATCATAATCAACATTTAAATTATAACCATAATCTAAGCTTGTATATTTTCTCTTCAATTTCTGTGCAAAATATCGCACACTAATTATAACTTGTTAACAATTATTTATACTAACTTGCATGGGTGGCACGTGTTGGAAAACTTGTAGATTAATAAAAGTTTGATGGGATGACTTTTTGGTGAACCGAGGAATAAAGAAGCTTCACAAAAGCGCGTTTTTTTGAAAATTTTCAAGGCATAGAAAGCCACCTCCAATTTATAGTTTCTCCTTAACCTTAATTCTCCGCTCCCATCCTTTTCAGTGACGAAAAAGTCCGTAGTGTCAATTTTTGAAATAAATAAAATTGAGCATGAAATTTTTGAAGGTGTAGTAGCCATTTGTCTCTGACACATTAGAGAGCTATGAGTTTCTTGAAATGGCTGGTCCTTGTAATGTTCCAATTTAATTACATTTTTCACCTCAGCATAGCACAGCCTGAATTCGAATTTCATGTATGTGCAGATTCTAATATTACTGAGTTTTCCCCAAATAGTACATATGACACTAACCTTAACACAACCCTCTCCTCTGTTTCACGAAATATGGATAGTTTTGGATTCTATAATTCTTCCATAGCCCTAAACTCCGACACGATTAGTGTCATTGCGCAATGTAGAGGGGATGTACAATTACAGGTATGCCGTGATTGTATAAGTAATGCGACTCGTAAGATTCTAGAGGTATGTCCTTACAAGAAATCGGCCTTTGGTTATTATGAAAGTTGTCAGTTACGATATTCAAACGAATCCATCATAGGCACCGTGTTAATAATAAACCCACCAAACATTTTGTATAGCACGGCAAATGCCTCGAATCTTAATGAATTTATGGAAGATGTAAGAACCTTGTTAGAAAGTTTACGAAGGGAAGCTTCACGGGGTGGGAAGCGGAAGTATGCTAGTAATAGTACTGCGGGCCGCCTTGTTTTCCAGACTATATATGCACTTGTACAGTGCACTGCGGATTTATCAGCTGAAAGTTGCAGTAATTGTTTAACCGCTGGCTATCAAACTTTACCTAACTGTGAATGTTATGGTACGATTGGTCTCAGATATAGAGTGCCCAGCTGCAAATTTCAGTATGAAACTAGCTCCTTTTTCAACCAGCTACCGACAGAAGCTCCACCACCCTTATCACCACCGCCACTTCCATCACCACTGCCACCGCCACCATCAGGTATGTCAAATCTTTATGAAATTGTTACCCAATTCAACTCTTAAATTGCTAAGTCATGCTTTTACAGGAAAAGAATATTTTTAAAAGAAGAAATAGACGCTTTTGAAAATTTGAGATTTAAATCATATTGTAACATTTAAGTGATAAGAAGACTTTTAAAATTGGTGATATTAAAATATATCCTAGCATTTGAGTGGTAATATAATCTTGTTATTAAGAATAAAATGAGAAGCATAACTAAATTTTTCCAAATTTATGAAGTGATCATTATTTTAGAAACACGGACACAACAAAAAGGAAATAGGGTCACATAAATAAACTAAAACAAAGTATAGCCTAGCCAATACTAACTTGAAGAGTTCCTGCAGGAGAGGATGATAAAACAACTCGAACCGTCATCATTATCATTGTGTCAACTGTTACAGTTGTTATTCTTGTTGTTTGTATTTCTCTCATCACGATGAGGAGGCGAAGGAGGAAACTAGTGAAAAATATTCAGAGTAAGGCGTACGTTATTAACAGGCAATGATTTCGGAAAGTTGAACTGTTAAGACCGTATTTCACTGAAATTTTGTTGTATGTTTTACTACTACTTTGATGAAGGTATTCACGGGGATGATATTAGCACTGCAGAATCCTTTCAATATGATTTTTCAACAATTAGAGCAGCAACAGATAACTTCTCAAGCGATAATAAATTGGGACAGGGCGGATTTGGTCCTGTGTACAAGGTGATTGCTGATTTAGCCTACTTGATGCATAAAAGGACACTGTGACTGACTGACATCATATAGCTGACTCTTTGTTCAACTCATAATTTTTCAATTTGCGCTCGTCTGATTCAGGGTACGCTTCCAAATAGTCAAGAAGTAGCAGTGAAAAGATTGTCAGCAGATTCTGGCCAAGGTGATCTGGAATTCAAAAATGAGGTCATGTTGGTTGCTAGACTTCAACACAGGAATTTGGTTAGGTTACTGGGATATTGCTTCGATGGAACAGAGAGACTTCTTATCTATGAATTTGTTCCCAATGCAAGCCTTGACCACTTTTTATTTGGTATGTATAACGTATTGCTTAATGTTTTGTCAGTATATTATGACATGTTGACTGTCGTCTAGCTATCTGCCTTATTATTCTGGAGAACTAATTCCACTTGTTACACGTAGTTACCTATAGTAATAGTGACTTGATGTGAAGCTCAATTCATAATTATATTTTTCATCTTGTTCCCAGATCCAGTTAAACGTAGGCAATTAGATTGGGAAAAGCGATCCAAAATAATAGGAGGCGTTGCTAAGGGAATTCTTTATCTACATGAGGATTCTAGACTTCGCATCATTCATCGTGATCTCAAAGCAAGTAATGTTCTACTTGATGAAGAAATGAATCCTAAAATTGCAGATTTTGGCATGGCAAGGCTATTTACATTGGATGAAACTCAAGGCAACACAAGTAGAATTGTCGGGACCTAGTAAGTTTTACATCTCTCAATATTATATAGACTGTTACTCCTTTTTCATATCACTGGGAAGGACTTTAAACCATTTAACCAGATTTAAAAGCTGCCTCGAGACAAAAGCAAATCATTCCTTGAAATAATGCTTCAATATAGTTGGACTAGGACTAGGACCTAAAAAGTCCGGTTGGTTTATAGGAATGCAAACTATGTGAAGATATTCACTATGAATTATAAAAACAATAGAGTTGGCAAAGACGAAAGTATTTGTTATTTTATTAGGAAAATGCATAAGTACCCCCCCAGCCTATGTCCAAAATCCCTGAGACACACCTAACCTTTACTAAGGTCCTATTACCCCCGAACTTATTTTTTAGTTAATTTTTTACCACTTTTCGGCCTACGTGGCTGAGTCCGTGACTTCACCTATGTTAGGCGCGTGGGTGCAATTTTTTCACAGCACTGACCAATAAAAATTGGCCATGTGTTAAAATAAACTTGAAAAAAATAACTATTAACTCAATTATCTTCTTCTTTATTATTATTCTTCATGTTTGGAAAAAAAAACCTCCATTATCATAAGTTAAATTGCTCCTTTCTTCGAAAAGCTAACAAAATAAAATCAAGAAAAAAACTAGCCTTTGAACTCAACCACGGATCTTGATGACTTAGAAGTAGGGGTGTACATAGGTCGGTTTGGTTTGGTTTTTCATTAAAAAAAACCTAAACCAATTATGTCGGTTTATTAAATCTAAATACCAAATCAAACCACGCAAAGTCGGTTTTTT